TTGCCATAATCGAGCAGCCCTAGATTTCAGTATTTAATATTTTCCCCGTGTCATTTCTCATTATTACAGATTAATGTATGAACATCTATGGTTTGATGTCTTTGAATATTGGGTGGGTTGTTACTGGTTGTTACTGGTTGTTACTGGCCAACACCACCCTCAGAAGTAGACTGACTGATAAAACCGGTGATGTGTTCAATAATAACTGCACTCATGTAACAACAGCAGTGATTCAGTTTCTATTTGACTTCGTTAAACAGTAGAAACGCCGTCCTTGGACATAACAACATAACAGACTCACCAGTTTGATCACAGCATGGCTCACAGACTGCAGGCTTCTCTGCATTACTCGATGTCTCTCGGCCTCCCTCTCGCTCTCCTCCCTCAGACTGACCTCGGTCTGCAGCGAGCCAGTGAGCGCCTCAATCCTGGGAAAGAAAGAAGGAGACTGATCGAGAGGAGAACAGAGGGAGGAGCAGGATGTGTTTGAACGTCTGGTAGAAGCTAATTTACCTCTGCTGCAGCTGGAAAACTTGAGTCTCCTGAACAGACTTCACCTCTGAAGCGCCTTGCTCGTCCTCGTCCTTCTCCTCTTTGAGTTCCAACTCTCCCAAAGAAAAGATTCGCATTGTGGATGATGGGAGGAGAGGAGGTGCAGAAGAGTTCGGAGGACAAAGGGCCAGATCGGAGGACGGAGGAGGAGAATAGAATGAAAAGGGAGGAAAGTGGGAAGCGAGAAGAGGAGGAGAAGCGGAGGAGAAGGAGAGAGGATTAATGTAAAGTGTGCTGAGCCTCAGAGAGGAGGAGACAGAGTCGCAGCTGGAGAGGAGAACGGACGAGAGGCGAGAAAACTCAGCCTTCAGCTGCCACAGGTCCCTGCAGACACAGACAGGTGGGTCAGCATGTTTACAAGCTCAGGTTGGTCATGAACCCTGAATGCTGATTGGTGGAGCTGATAACTGGACTGAACCAGCTGTAGAGACGCTCCTCTGAGTGAAGCAGCCTCGCCTCAGACGTACCTGTCAGCAGCCGTTTTCATAGCGTGGCAGTCCCGCCTCAGAGCAGCCACAGATCTCCAGATAGACAGCAGCCGAGCCTGCTGCTCCCCCACAAGACACAGCCGACGCTACACACACACACACACACAAATATAGAAACACAATAACTGCCATCTGAACGGTCACTTTCAAAATCAATTCAACTGCAGACCTCTCGCTCTTTCTGCAAATCAGCCTCTCGCTGCTCTGCCTCCTCCACAGCTGTCGTCCAATCATTCGTCAGCTTCTGGAGGTCCTCCTTCAGGGCGTGGTTGGCCTGCTCTGATTGGACAAGTTGCTTGCAAAGGAGACTATTGGTGTCACCTAAACTGACCGACCTGAGGAGGGAGACAATCATTTATTAAATCAGACAATATTTGTGTAGAACAATCACAATTAAATGAAACAGCCATAGCAGTCATTCTGGCTCTGGGTTTGATAAAGCCTTTTTAAATACAATACAATGATGTTATGACTTTTGGCCTCTGGAAGAAAACCTGTAACAAAGATGAAGGACTGCAAGCTTCAGGATGCACCTTTACTCAGACAAAGCTTTGGAGAACTTCAACACAAATGGTTCCTGTGTTTACTTTTCAAATAAACAGAGGAAGACGCATGAAAGTGGAATTTCATTCATGTTTCAGGAGGAGAAGCTCCTCCAGTGACCGAGGAGCAGACTGTCCTTATGCATGCAGCAAGAGAATTAAATGTTTCCTTAAAGTGAGTAACAATACATGTTTATGTAAAATAGCAAAAAGCTACATTTAAATATTGTAATATTT